CTATTAATGTTATAAACGATTGCAAATAAAGCTCATCTGAGATTTTATAAACCAGCATATCCCTTTGTTTTCCCTGATAATTCAGGTTTTCAGGTTTTCTGAACTTACCATCAGGAAGATTCAACAGTTTGTGTGAAATAGGCAGAGACATAGCATATATGCAGTAGCTAAAATGACACAAAGTAATTAATAGCTTATTGACTGATAAAGCAGAGAGAATCATCAAATGGCTATAAATGCCATGGCCATTAAGAGATTTGGATTCTTAATTCAAAACTGCACACCCACTTCTTGTATAATCCCCAATTCTGTTCTAAAGATCCTGGAAAGATAGGTGGTTGCTTTCTGGCTTTGTCTTCAAACTAAGTCAAGGGAAGTGGTTCTTTTTTTTTTAAAGCACCTCAATCATTCAGCTTATGCTGTCACCACCTGACAGAAATTTCATAGGTTCTAACGAGGCATAAAATCCTTGAATATATTGATTTATTTTTAATGCAGTTGACAGTCTATTAACTGGATTAGGATCGCCCAGATTTCTTGACTTTGGTTCTTTGACCATTTCCCCTGGCTTTCTCACTCATCAGCCTTCCTCAACATGCACTGCTTAGGGTTCAGGGTTTTCATGAACATGAAAGCGGTTACTTCACTTACTAACTCTGAAACTGTTCTCTTGCCTCATTAAAATCAGTATCTTCAAATAGAACTATACTCATTAAGCTTAATTAACATGTTTTTCTACATGAATCTGGACAGTTGCATGTAATATTATGTCTTTTATATTTGTCATTTCCTTTAGTTTAGTCTCCATAGTTTTCTGCATCTTTTAAACTGCAATGCTTGGGGTGCCTGGGTGGCTCAGTGGGTTAGAGCCTCTGCCTTTGGCTCAGGTCATGGTCCCAGGGTCCTTGGATTGAGCCCAGTGTTGGGCTCTCTGCTCAGCAGGGAGCCTGCTTCCACCTCTCTCTCTCTGCCTGCCTCTCTGCCTACTTGTGATCTCTGCCTGTCAATCAATAAATAAAATCTTAAAAAAAAAACTGCAATGTTAAAATATCACTCTTTTATTTTTTTAAGATTTTATTTATTTGACAGAGAGAGAAAGATCACAAATAGGCAGAGATAGTGGGGGAAGCAGGCTCTCTGCGGGATCATGACCCGAGCTGAAGGCAGAGGCTTAACCCACTGAGCCATCCAGGCACCCCTAAAATATCACTTTTTAATGGGGACTCCTCTTTTGCTTTTATACATTAAGCAACCAATTAACTCATGAACCCAACATTAACAAACTCAACTACATTAGCTCAACCAAACTTATTTAAAACAATAGATGATTCACAAGACTTATGTTGATTGTACTGATTAAAAAATTCTTTAAGGTAAAACAATATAGACTTTATTAAACCAATTATGAATAGTAGAGCAACTCAAGAGCAACATAGTTCATTTCTCTGGACATAGCAGTTCACGGATGATTTACATAATAGCGACAAGATCTTATGGGTAACTCATCTTAGGACAACTATGGTGAGTATCAACTGTATCTTTCAACACAATAAAAACAAGGCAACCCAAAGTCCTGATTTTAACCATGAGTACTCACAACTCTCTTTGGGCACAAAAGTTCCTTTGATATAATTCATCTTCATTGAAAGTAACCAGAGACATACTGAAATAGAGTCATGCCAAATCAGAGGGTAGAATGAAAATGACACTATGAAAATGTACTATTCTAAGTAACCGTTATCCCAACACTTCTGATATAACATCTTATCCATAGCAACTGTTCCTTTAGTTTTCAGTACATTTGTATTTTATTCCAGTCATTTTAAGCACAGTTTACTCTAAATTCATTAGTTCTGAAAATGTTTAATTGCACAGTAATATATCTATTAAGCATACATTACCAAAAATGTCTTACTAAATAGAATAATGAACATTTTGTTTTATAATGCTTTCTACAAACAGCTATCTAAGAAAGTGGCATATCTAAAGAATCTTTACATTAGGAAATGTATCCATAGATTCTTATGGTGGTTTAGTCAATATAATGTTGAAATTAAAACATATCAACATGGAGGTATACTTACATTTAATAAATCATCTTGCTTAAAGGAGCAAAGGAATGCAGTGACAATATCATAGAGCCATATTTGAATAGCAGCTTATTTACGTTTCAGATCATTTTTATTTATTTAATAAAGTGCTTAATTAACTTATGATAAACATGTATAACCAAGTGCAATTTTTATTTGAATATGATGTTACTGATATACTTTCTTCATTAAAGCACCTACTAGAGCAGAGTCCAACACTAGTCAAATCTTGTCCTCATGGCGCTCTTTATCCACCCAAAGTACCCCACGCACACAAATGCAAATGCATGCATGTCTTCAAACAAACACATGCAAACATTCCCAGACCCTCAGACACACAGATACATATAGAATTGGTATTTTTTTTAACAAATTCAAAGTGTATGGTCATTTTAAAAAATCTGTATATGATGTCTATATATTGGCAATATGCTGTGAAGTAAATATAACACTTACAAATATTTGGCTATGCATAGGAAGTAAATGGACTGAAACCATGTGTGATTTTGCACATTTGTGGGTGTGTGTGTGGTAACTGAAACATAGTGTATCCTTGTTTCTTTCCTGCAGGAAGATGTTTGTTTATTTATCTATCTATAGACAGAGACAGTGTGAAAGCAGGGGGACAAGGGGCTGAGGAAGAAGGAGAGAATATTTATCAGGCTCTATTCTTAGCCTGGAGCCCAGTGCAGGGCTTGATCTCACAACCCTGAAATCCTGACCTGAGCCAAAATCAAGAGTCAGACATTTCACCGACTGTACCACACAGGTGTCCCAGGAGATGCATTTTTAAAACGAGAAATATAGAGGCTCCTGGGTGGCTTAGTTGGTTAAATGTCTACTTTCATTCAAGCCGTAATCCCAGGGTTCTGGGATTGAGCCCCATCTTGGGCTCCCCGCTCAGTGGGGAGTCTGCTTTTTTCCCTCTACCCTGCTCATGCTTTCTCTCTCGCTCTCTGTCAAATAAATAAGTAAACTCTTTTAAAAAAAATAAATAAATAAAATGAGAAATATATATTTCACATATAAAACTGTCATGTTTATTGGGAAAATAGAACAAAATGAGCAACACCAATATTAAATAATCATTTTTATTTGTCTTAAGATTTTTTATGGCCACATGGCAATATTACTACCATATTAAAATGTATCAAATATATGGTGCACCTTAAATTTATGCAATGTAATATGTCAACTATATTTCAATAAAAAGCTTTTTTTAAAATCTAAACCCTCTTGCCAGAGTAACAATGTATACAATATATGTATATTCTTTAATCCTAGAATTCTGACTACTTTATTAACATTTTTATTTCTGAGTATTTAATATTATCTTGGTAGTAAAAGGACTTGTCTATCCGATACCATTTCAGCTTACATTATATTACTTTTTATCATCTCCTGATTTTTATTTTTTACTTCATTTAATTATATGTAATTTACCTTATAATTATAACACATATGCTATATATATTATGTATGTATTCTTCATTAACCTATCTATACATATTCAATATGTTCTTCATAAATTATTATAGTAGGAAAATCTGTATATCAATCTGTATGATTAAGATCTATTCTTGTCCAGTGTACTTAGGTGTTGGTGCACACCAGGAAAAGAAAGACAAGTAAGCTGATGGATTCCTCCTGAAAATATGATAATGACAATACTCCTAGCATTCAAGTGATATTAACTACTGAGAGTCTGTGAGCATCTTTTTCAGCTGGATGTACCTTGTCTATGATAGTGGTAAACAAACCTGGAATCTATAAAGTTATGAAACAGGGTTCCTTGAAAAATGTTTTGTAAGCTATGTGATCATGGAAATATAAGGGGATTTTATAACAAAAAATGGCTTTCTTCTGTGTTATCTGGCTGTGCCCATTACTTGATGATACCACGTGTTAATCTGATTCAGGATGAGTCTAATGGAACTAGAGAAGAAGGGACCTCTGGAATATCTTAGATCACTCTCTTCTTCTGTGTCTCATGATTATATAGATCTTTGAAATTACTAGTAAAACTTAAAACTCATTTCTTACTGAACATTTGGCTACTTTCAAAATGCGTTTATGTTCAGCCAATTCTTTGTTAAAAAATTATTTGCCAACGGGACCATAGCTTTCTATGGTTTTTAGATTATGCTGCTGAACATAATCCTATAATGCAATATTGAGTATCCTTCATTCCCACTTTGACATCACATAGTATGATATGATTATTTTGGACAGAAAAAAAGAGAGGAAAGAGAGAATTCCTATTTTTTTCCTTAAAAAAAAAGTTTACATGTTTCTGTCTTTACTTTCAGTTAATTTCTCCTACATAATGCAGTATTTAAAGACTGAAGAATTTTCTCTTTAGGAAAAAAAACCTCAGTTCAAGACATAACAATTCCCCCAATGTAATATATAACAACTTCCGTGACAATCAAATTCAAATGAATTATGGAAATTCTCAATAAATTATTTACTATCTTTGGCAAAGAATTAAACCTAATATATAAACACAACAAATGATACACTTGAAGATCTCATTGAATGTAACACACCATATTTGTTTTAAGCAGAAAGTAACTGATACAAGGACATGCAAAAGTAAGAAATTTTTACTGGTATAACTGCTGGATAATCAAAATGCTAAAGAAAACAGTGAATTTACCTTCAATTATTCAATCACATCATGTTAGAAAAAACAAGGATATTTTAGAATGTGCTAAAACAACAATGTCTGATGTAGGAGAAGACACAGAAATAAAACAATTATTCAATCACATCATGTTAGAAAAAGCGAGGACATTTTAGAATGTGCTAAAACAACAATGTCTGATGTAGGAGAAGACACAGAAATAAAAACATTGCTTTCTTTTATTCCAGCACACAGGCACACAAATTATACAAAAATGCACTAACCTGTTTTAGGATCTACGGAGAAGTAGGGCTGTCCCTGGAGAATACTGTACACCACACGGGCACTGTTTCCATAGGTAGGGTCGTCTGCATCAGTAGCTGTCACCTGTAGAACAGAGGTACCTGTGCATTCAGGAAAACAAATTTTAGTGTGTGGTAATATTTAGCACGTGACTTATACACAGAAAAAGGTTACACTGACATACCTATGGAACACTATAATAGATGTATCTTACAAAATTTAATTCTTGGTTTATCTGTTAAACATCTGTCCCCTGCCAACAACTGTATCAGATGAGAAGCGAAAAGAAAATATTTGATTTCCAACATTTTAATATTTTCATGTGTGTGTGTGCCAATAACACTGTGAAAGGCCTCTTTTGACACTCACATAATCAGGGGTAGGTTGGACTGATGATCAAGAATCAAACTGGTGTTCAACTGTGAGGTAAGTTCAAAGGTAAGGTGAGAACACGTATTACCTATTATATACCCATTCAGAAAATGGCAGGTCAGATGGTTTGTGATTATGGGGCAATGCGGGTGAGTTGACATTAAATTATCAGTAGCATCAAAGTAGCAGATTCAAACCATTTTCCATGATTTATGTCATTTTTATTTTAGGACTATTAATGAGTGCCCAAACTGGTCTTCAAGGTTCAGTTCTCATTCCTTTGGGTTCTTCTATATAGTACCAACATAATCGTCTTTCTACAATGGGTATCAGAATATGCCTATTACACTGGATTTTTTTAAAATTAAAGTGTACATTAAAGGAATTTATAAACTTTAGAATACTGTATTTTGAGGTAAAATTAGCAGCTGTATTCTGCTTATTTCTTTTCTGTTTATATATTTCAAATACTATTTGCATAATTAAGTACATTTATACCATATTTCAGTTATTCTCAAATGAAGACTGATCTAGGTATAACAAGACAACCATCTATTAGGGCCTATGTAACTTACTGTAAATTTAGTGGGTTAAGAGCTCTCATTTATTCATGAAATGTACTTGATGAATCATCTAATAGTGCATACTTGATATTTTATTCTGCCTAACTAAAAATATTCCACCTACTAATTCAGGTTATGTAGCAACCAAAAATATTTTCATAATCAAGTAATTCTATATGAAATTCTGCATTCATCTTGGTATTTGACTATGGAAGCACTGACAATTTTCAGTCTTTAGTTTTAATAAGTACTTCAATTATTTAGGTATGGAACAATTATTAAGGGCCTAATATCTGTTTAACTACAAAGATTTTACTTTTCTGTTGAAATGCAGAGTCAACTTCAAGCAATGCTTTTTCTTTGTCTTCAAGGCATCCTAGAAAACTTAATAAAATTAGTATGCCTTGTTCTTCTGACAATCCTTATTAGCAGATTATAAATGTACATGAACTTTTAATAGTATGTTAAGATTCTGGCCTCTAAATGGTATTTTACATTGATATTATAAGCAGAAATATGATTAGCAATTATACATACTCAGAAGGGGAGGGCTGTGTGGTGTCTAAACGATATCTTTAATAATGAATAATAAAACACAATGGTGACACTAAATGCTGGCAAGAATACGGAGAAACTAGGTCACTTGTACATTGCAGGGGGAAATGTACATTTAGCAGATTCCTATAAAATCAAACACACATATAACGTACAACCCTGAAAATTGTAGTCTTGGGCATATATGCAAAAGTAATGCAAACACATGTCCACATAAAACAGTGCTTGCAAATCTTCATAGATATTCACAGCAGCATTATTTGTAGTAGCCACAAACTAGAAATGACCCAGATGTACGTTACTGGGAAAATAGTTAAACAGACTGCGGCAATTGATGGTATGGAATACTACTCAGCAATGAAAAATAAGCATGCAGCATGACGCATGCAGCCATTTGGTGAATCTTCAAGTAATTATACCCAGTGGAGAAAAGCCAGTCCCATAAGGTGATATATTCTATGATTTCACTTATTTAACATTCTTGAAATGATGACATTTTAGAAATCATTAACAGACTTCCAGCTGCCAGGTGGAAGAAGTGGAAGTAGACTTAGGGGATACTGGTTATAAAAGAGCAACATGAGGCATCTTCATGATGTTAGAACTACCCAGTATTTTGATTATGGCATGGGATACATGAACATAGACCTGTGATAAATCACATAGACCTAAACACGCATACAAGTAAAACTAGGGAAATCTAAACAAGACTGGTAAATTAAATAATAACACATATGTGTGTGTGTGTGTGTGTGTGTGTGTGTGTGTGTAGAATGGACCAAAATATTTTGGGTGCATAGTACTCCATTCCACCCACCCACACACACACACTGGAATACTATGCAACCATCAAAAAACCACACACACAAAATCTTGCCATTTGCAATGACACGGATGTAACTAGAGGGTATTATGGTAAGTGAAATAAGTCAATCAGAGAAAGACAATTATCATACGATCTCCCTGATATGAGGAATTTGAGAGGCAGTGGGGGGAGTCATGGGGGAAGGGAGGGAAAAATGAAACAAGATGGGACCAGGGAGGAAAACAAACTATAAGAGATTCTTAATCTCAGGAAACAGAGGATTGTTAGGGGGGATGGGAGGGATGGGGTGTCTGGGTTATAGAAGGGTTGTTGGGAGGGTATGTGCTATGTGAGTGCTATGAATTGTGTAATACTGAAGATTCACAGACCTGTACCCCTGAAGAAAATAATACATTATATGTTAATAAAAATATAAATAAAATAAAATAAATATTAAAATAAGGGAAAAAAAGTTTCAAGGACTTTTTCTGTGATGTCACAGTTGTTCTATGCCTCACATTCATCTCTCCAACCTATTCAGAGAGTATCAGTAGGTAGACATCTACAAATAGAAATTGGTTTAGGAGGAATTTTTGTTGATAGCACATTGAAGAAAATTAAATCTGTAGGAAGTGCCCAGAAAAAACTACAAAAAATATGAAAAGTCCATATTGTAACTACAGTGTTACAAAATTATATTAGTCAAATCCTTGATTTAATTTGAAAAATGCTGTTCATATTGGGCATATACAGGAATTACTGAGATCAAAAGAGAGAACCGTATAGACAGAAAACATTAAAATAAAGGCCATCTTTTAAGAAGCCACACTTATAAAATCCTCAAATTTTAAAATGTTCTCTGGCTTTGCAATAGTTATTTAGGTTTAAATTGTATTTAATGTCTTAAAAATAGTCCCCAAGCAATCATTCCAAAGAGAAAGCTGAGAAAGACAAATAGTCCAAGATCACACCTCCTTTGTGGTAACTGGCTGGGACACCACATGACAAAAATAAATAAATAAATAAATAAATAAATAAATAAATAAATAAATAAAATTAAATTTAAAAAAATTTTTGTTCCGCTTGGCTTAATGTGTTTATAAAAGTCCAGCCTTGTTAAGTGAAAGCTGAAAGGCATGAATGCAGGGAAAAGTGAAATGAAAAACAACAAGTAAAGAAAAAAAGAAAAGAAAAAAGGTAGCCTTGTAGGGTTGACTACGTGATGGTAAAAGTAGTACAGAGAAGTGAGCAGAGACAGGATCCAGGAGAGAAAAAGAAAATATATTAACTCTCTACCCTGGTCAGAATGTATGGTCACTAACTGTTACACATCTCTATATAGTCAGTCTCACAGGTGTTTGGCAATTCTGATTACTTGTGTGAAGTAAGGTAGAGCAAATGACCTCTATCACTTTGCTTTGATGGCATCTGAAGGTATCAGACCACCACTGTAAGTACACAGATTGCTGGTCAAAGGGAGCTCACATTTATGTACAGCACAGCCCAACTGAAAGTCACCCTGCCCCTTGAACACAGTAAGGGTAAAAATAAAGAGCCAGGATGGAAAATAAGTCCCTTGGCTAATTGTTCTAAGAATTTCTTACCAAGAAGAATTGGTAAGAGGGTTTCAGGTCAAAAGAAAAGAATATATATATACATATTTTATATTCTTATTGACTTGAAACCTAGAAGGCAACATTTTAAGAAGCATTAGTGCTTTTAGAAGTTCTTTTACATTAGAAAAAAGGCTTTGGGGGGCCTGGGGGGCTCAGTCGGTTAAGGGTCTGCCTTGACTCAGGTCATGGTCTCAGGGTCCTGGGATTGAGACCTGAATCAGGCTCCCTGCTCAGCAGGGAGTCTGCTTCTTCCTCTGTGTTCTCCCTCTCTTTCTCTTTCTCTCAAATAAACAAAATCTTAAAAAAAAAAAAAAAGTAAAAAGAGAGCGTTTTTTTTTTTTAAAAATAGATAATAAAAAATAGATCGCTTTAGGGTATATGTTAAGGGTTGAATTGCTTCCCCTCAAAGTTTATGAATTGGACATCTAGACTCTAGCACATCAAGGCAATCTTATTTGGAAATAGGATCATTGTAGATGTAATTAACTAAGACAAGGTCAAGCTGGAGTAGTGTGGACCCCTACTCTAATATGCCTGGTATCCTTATACAAATAGGAAATTTGGAAACACACGCAAGCACACATAGAGAATACTTTATGTGAAGATTAAGACAGAAATAGGAGTGATTCCTCTACAAACCAAGGGCACTCAAAAATTGCCAACAAACCACTAGAAGCTAAAGGAGAGACTAGGGACAGACCCTATTCTAGTATTTTAGGAGGGAACATGACCCTGCTGACAATTTTGACCTCAGACTTCTAGCTTTTGGAACAGTGAGACAAAAACTGTTGTTTAAGCTACTCAGTTGTACTTTGGTACAGGAGCCTTAGCAAACTAATAAAATATGTTACAGCTACAGTGGAAAGAAATTACGCTTATTCTCAGAATTTACAGGTGTTCTTTCACTGAATCTGGATAACAATCTAAAGTTACAATTCACAATAAAATGATGGATAATTCCCTTTGCTATTTGATGCCAGCTATATCATAAGTGAGATAAAATAAAAAGTTAATCTCACAAGTTGATAAATTAAATTAGATAGAAATTAGTGGTATTTGATTATTTTAAACATTAGGCACTACTAGTGATATAACTGTTGACATTTTTAAGTAAATTAATGAAATATATTAGTTATATTAATGAAGGATTTCTACTCCTGGTTTAATGTTTAAGAGAAAAAAATCAGTAT